AAAAAGTTATCAAGTTTGTAGGAGTCCAACACACCATAGAGCTTTATGTAATGTATATGTGTGTATTTATCTTAACATTACCTTACTGATGGAGGATTCATTTGCTTCAGGTTCAAAAATAAAAAGGCATGTGTTTCTTCTCCAAGAAAAGGTCCATAGTGAGAGATAAGTCCAAAGGAACCTAAAATGTGACCTGTCTTGCGTGCCTTCCCATCCCACCAAACCCTTCCTAATGACTGTTGGCTAAGGAGGCAACAAATGTTCGTGTGAGCAGCATCATGAAGATCAAGAAGGTGCTGTTTCTTGAGCTGGGTTTCTTTCTTTCACCTGTCACCCTGCAAACGTATTCTTGGTGTCCATGGAAAGCTGCTAGTCCCTTGGGCCCACAGTTCACCATAACTAAGGTGCCTTGGTATCAAGCATATACCTTTAGAAACTGCACTGTCCAAATATTTCGTGTTGGAAATAATTCATACAGATATGATTTACAGCTAGATGTTTAGCTATTAAGGTGTTATATCACACTATCTTTGTCTATGCCCAGTCTTTGTCGTGACATGCAGGACAGAATTTTTGGGGCTTGTAATCATTGCGTGGCACCTTTGGTGTTCAGAACAATGATTGTGGACAAGTTCAAGCTGGAGTCTTAAAGCCAGCACATTTATACCCCAAATTTTATGTCTCTGGCAGAAAGAGGTTCTGGTTCTTTATACAGGCATAAATAAAAGCTGTTGGATCCTTTTGGAAGCTCAGATGAACTTTTGTTGTTGTTGTTAGCAATTGGTAAGTAGTAGTCAGTTTTCCAACTCTAGGTTCAGGATTCAGACACATGCGGCCATGTGCTTTCTTCTGTCTTGGTGAATGAGTAGAGTGGTACTTATTGGCAAGATTTAAAAATTCAATATTGGGAAACATGGACCTGCCTAACAGCATGGAAGAATGGAGGGAGAAGTGTGTTTACCTAACTAGTCTTTCTAGTGAGAATGTCCTCAGATTTAGTCCTTTTCTGATAGTTTAGCTTTAGGAAACGGATGAGCTACGTCAGACTGCTTCAGGAGGAGCATGGGCGGCACAGTTTAGCTGAGAAGTTTCTTGTCTTGCCTCGTTTGCTGTGCTGGCATGCAGCCCTTGCCAGAAATGTTGCCTCAGGTAGGTCTGTGGTGCAGGCATCCCAGGAGGTGATGAGAAGTTGTAGTGGTTGCTTCAGCTTCCCCGGTTGCAAGCAGGCTGAAGACCTGCATTCCTTAGTGCTGTGGACCTCTACTAGGAGAAATGTCATTTTTCTGTTGATTGAAATGGCTTTTGTAGAAGGGCGTCCTCAGAAGTCCCAACAAGTGGAGCTGTGTTCCTGGCACGCTGGACATGGGATACGATCTAAGCTGTGACAGAGTTTGAAGTAAGGGTGCAAATACAGAGTTCTTGCTGATGGCTTGATCTGACAAATTAAATTTCAAGGGGTTAAACTGAAAATCATAGTATGAAAACAGACTTGAGAAAAAACAATGACAAGTGGCAAAAGTTTTTGGCAACTTTATTTAAGCTAACAAACGAATTTTCACACAGCAAAGTTATAAATTAATTTTAATAGGCTGATCCAGATGGTCCATTTGGAAAATGGATAGCTTGATCTGTTGAAAATTAAACTAAATTTATCTCTCTCATACTTCAAACTGAAGTAAGCGTGAGAAGAGTGTCCATTAAGTCCGGCTCATGCAGATGGACCGGCAGGTCACACATGGGACTAATCTGATTCATTTTAAAAATAAATGCATGAGTTATTGAATCAGGTTCCTGTTTCAAACCCTGTGTGTGAGCGTGTGCGTGTGTGTGCCGCCCTTTCAAAGGGGCTCGCAAATGCTTCAGTGCCTTTTTAACCTGTGTGTTTCCATTTTAATTCAACTTCCTTGCCAAAAAGCATAATTAGTTTTCAGTGCCTATCATTTAGTGTTAGACGCAAACGCTAGATTGATTAGGTCAGGCATTTGTTATTTTAAGGGCTACGTCTCCATTCTTCATTTATGAAGAACATGAGCTCAATAGTCTTGGGGAGAGAGGCGGCCTTTAGAAACGGCGAAGGGGAAGCTCTCTGGGGGCCCCTCCAGCCTTTTAGCTTCTGGGTGTTTTAAACAGGGCCATGAATGCAGATTTGTAAATTTATTGCGGTGCCATCTGGTTTTTTTTTTTTTTTTTTGCGGGAACCGTATTATAGTTGGCTCGTATGTGTCTATTGTGGTGGTCACTCGGCGGGAGCTTGCCCTCGTAGTCCTACGGAGAGTGATGAATAGCGGGGGTCAGCATGAGTAGGTCACAGGGCAGCTGTCCAGGGCTGCCCTGAACTTGATTACCCCGCTGGTTTCCAGAGAAGACGGGCACAATGCGGCTTGTTCAGAAACCCTCCCTGCCTCCTCCTTGGTGGAGCGGGACTGAAGGGCCTTTTGCTGCCGCGGTTCCTTCTGCCGGGGCCGGCGCGGGGGGCAGCGCCGGCGGCCGCGCGATGGCCGTAACGTCCCTGCAAGCGGCGCTTGGGGTTCTGCAGAGCTTCCGGATGGAAGTCCAGGGAAGATAAATCTCTGTGTGCTCCTCATTCGAACAGGCCCTTTAGTATTTCCAGGAGTTTTTCCTGGTAGCGTTTGGCACAGAGTATTGCCTGTGTTTGGTCACACGGGTTTGTGGTCGTTTTATAAAATTACATGTAGCACCCAGACCGTGCTCGAGGCACTGTTTCAAAGTGAGAACAGGCGTGGTTTGCTCCTAAGAGCTTGAAGTCAAGCAGTTAAGGAAGGCAAAAAGCTGTAGGCATCACTGCTCGCTTCTTGTCGGTGGCATCACCTACTCCGCAGGTTACCTCTGTTCCAGGTAGAATGTAACGCTCTCCAAAAGCCCTTCTGCTCCGCGAAGTTAGTTCCCTCTTTGCAACTTACGGGGAAGGTTATAAAGTGGGGAGGTTGTGGGGATCCTGCAGCTCCCTCCCTCACTCCTGGAGGGGATTTTGTAGTTCAAATTTTCCTCCTCTTGGAGAGCCAGATGAGATGGGAAGTACCTTTCTTGCAAGGTTACCCTGTTTATATCTTCTGTTATACTAGAAATGTTTACTAGGAAGGAGTTGTTGGTTGAAAAGCCTCCTGGAATTGATAGAAATACATCCTAGTCATGCACTGAGGGGTGAAAAAAAATCACTTCCGTTTCTCCATATCACTTAATGCACATTAAAAAATCCGAGCAAACCGGGGTTCTGCCAAAATCTTAAGTTGCAAGGGAAATATGGCCTTGTGGCGGAAAGGCCACTGGGCTCTTTCAGCATCGGTGCTAATAGGAATCTGTCACCCTGCTGCATTTCTGCATTCCTCTGTAATTGAGTAAATTGCAAGTGGTGTCTGCTCCCCCCTGCTCTTTGTGTCCATGTCCACTTACCCTCCCAAGAACGTGGGCAGTGATAAATAAAGTGCTGAACAGGGCTCTCGACTCTTTGAAAGCAGCATGTTGCCAGCCCCCTAGTTATATTTCTTTAGGTGTTTATGTTTTTCTGTATTCTTTCCCTTGTGTGGCTGGAACCCCGGGGATCCAAAGCCATGAGAGAGGCCAAGAAGCTAACAAAGTAGCTGTCCTCTTGTTAGCTTGTTCCTTTCTTCTTTAAAAAAACCATCTGGCTCAGGGCATTACATTTTCCTCCCCCATGCACCTCTATAGATGAAGAGTTTCACCTGCAGTGAGGGTTTACATTGATTAGGGAGGGAGCAGTAATTCAAGCCTCCATCCACTTCAGTGATACTTTGCAGTCTTTAAGGGTGCTGACCCATTGAGTTAAACTGTCAAGGGAGGATAAAAAAGGAGCTTCATCCCGGGAGGTAACAGCTGCCAGGTTTTCAACACCTTGTGCGCTGCTGGAGAAATGTCACGAATTGTCAATGGAAAGAAAAATCACTCGGCTGCCATCTTCCCTTAATGATGAGCCTTATAAAATGAGAGATTTAAGGGTTTTTAAATC